ACGCCTGGGAGCGCCGCGCCGCAGCACCACCACGCAACGCCCCCTGCCGCGGCCGAGGAGACGCCCACTTCGAAACCGCCGTGGCAGCCGCACGGCTCTGGCGAGGTGGACGCTTTTGGCTACGGTGCCCAGCAGAACGGCGGCGGTTGGGAGCAGGTGCCGGCTGGCATCGCCGCAGGGCATGGGGCGGCGGAGGCCGTGGGGGGTTCCGGAGCAGAGGCGCAGCCAATGCCAGTGCCCAGCGAGCAGCAGCAGCAAGAGCAGCAGCAGCAGCAGCAGCAGCAAGAGCAGCAGCAGCAGCAGCAGCAGCAGCAGCAGCAGCAGCAGCAGCAGCAGCAGCAGCAGCAGCAGCAGCAGCAGCAGCAGCAGCAGCAGCAGCAGGGGTGGTACCAGGAAGGGTGGGAAGGCCAGGAAGGGGCCTGGGGCGAGCAGCAGGCGGCGGAGGGCGGCGCGTACGCCCAATGGACCCAGGAGCAGCAGCAGCAGCCGCAGTACACCTACGGCGCGTGGGGCGAGCAGCAGCACCAGCAGCAGCAGGACTACTGGGCTGGCCAGCAGGAGTATCAGGCAGGCCAGCAGGAGCCGCAACCGCCGGCTGAGGTGGAGGCCCGGGTCGGGGTGACACCAGAGCAGCAGCCGCACGAGCAGCACCAGCAGTTGGAGCAAAGGCAGGAGCAGGAGCAACAGCAGCAGCAGCAGCCGGCCTGGGGTTCAGCGCCGGGCTCGCACCAAGACGAGCATGCGGCCGCAGCAGCCGCGCCCGTGGAGAGCTCGGCCGCCCAGGAGTGGGGCTTGCAAGTGGAGGCGGGGGCGGCGGCTGCGGTGGCGGTGGCGGCGCCTGAGGATGGTTGGGGTGACGGCTGGGGCGATGAGGGCCTGCAGTTGCAGGGGCAGCTGGAGCAGCAGCAGCTGGAGCAGCAGCAGCAGCCGGAGCAGCAGCAGCCGGAGCAGCAGCAGCAGCCGGAGCAGCAGCAGCAGCAGCAGCAGCAGCAGCAGGAAGCGGAGGGCCAGAATGGGGAGCTTCCCCCGCAGCCCTGGCAGGCCGAGCACCCAGCGCCCGCCAGCCGCCGCGGGAGCGCCGAGTCTCAGCCCAGCACGGCCAAGGCCGCGGCGCGCGCGGTGGTCGCGTCCGCGCTGCAGCGGGCGCTGTCGCAGGAATCGTCGGAGCAGCGGCAGGGGGCGGCGGCGGCCGGAGAGGGCGCGGCGGCGGCAGCGGCGGGCGGCTGGGAGGGCGGCGGGGAGGGCGGCGGCGGAGGATGGGACGCCGAAGGCGGCGCGGGTGGCTGGGAGGACGGCGGCGGCTGGGGCGCGGAGCTCGGCGGCGCGGCTGCAGGGGAGGCGGGCGGCGTGGCAGCTGCGGTGGCGGTGGTGGCGGAGGGTGAGGCGTCCGCGGCCGGCGGCGGCAGCGCGACCCTCGCAAGCTGGGGCGCCGGCGCTGCGGCCGATGCGGAGGCGGACGCGGAGGGCGGCGCCGCCTGGGGCGGCGCCGACGCCGCCACGTGGCCGGGGGACGGTGCTGTCGACAGCGCGGGCGAGCAGGGTGGCCTCGAGGCCGCCGCGGACGCCGACGCCTTTGCTGCGGAAGCCGGCGCGTACGCCGCCGCCGAGGCCGCGGGCGCGCCCGCCGCCGCCGCCGCGGAGTCCCCCGAGCCCGCCGCGCCCGCATACCCGCCGCAGTGGCTGCGGCTGCGGGGGCAGCTCGTCGCGGCGCTGCCCGACGGCGGCGCGGACGAGCAGATGCTGGCTTGGCGCGACGCGTTCCTGCAGTATGGTGACTACCTCCTTGCCACGGTCCCCCTCCCCGCACCCGCCGACGGCGCGGCGGCCGTCGACGCGGCCGTCGAGTCGTCGGTTGCGGGCGCGGAGGGAGACGCGGCGGACGGGGCGGCGCCCCAGGAGCAGGAGCAACAGCAGCAGCAACAGCAGGAGCAGCAGCAGCAGCAGCAGGAGGAGCAGGAGGAGGAGGAGTTGCTGGTAGAGCTTGCTGCCGCGCAGCTGCGCGCCGAGGTGCAGGCCTGCGTGCTGGGCGCCCTGGGGATTGACGGGGAAGCGCTGCTGGAGTGCCTTGGTTGAGGGGCCGCGCGCGATGTGTCCCCCCTGTGGGAGCGGCAGGCGGCGCGCGGTTCGCGGGCTGCACTGTAGGGGCGCTGGGCCGGCGAAGCGTGCGGCTGCGGCCGTGGGCCCCGGCGGCGGCTGCGGCCCTGGCTGTGTCTGTTTCTGGCGCGGCGCGCATCTGCCGCTGCAGGCATTGAGGGCGGATTGCCGTGCCGGCATCGCTCGCGGCCGCCGCGTTTTGTGCGCGCCCTCTGGGTTTCTGGCTGGCGCGTTTCGCTGTGCGTTCCTCCCTTCTTGCGGCGTCGCGCGCGCGGCGGGGGATGCGTCCACGCTCTGCTCGGTTGCCGCAGCCTGTTGCGCAGTGTAGCAGGTCGCCGCGCGCGTGTGCTCGTTGCCTCCTGCTTCGTTCCTGCACATGGGGCCCTCTGCCTAATCTGCAGCCAAATGCGGCGCCATCAGACCTCCAGAGTAACACTGAATTCAAAAGTGGTTGAATTAGGGGCCCCTCGTCATGCACGCAAGACGAGGGAAGGGCCAGGCAGCAGCAGGGGCTGCGCCGGCTGCGCAGCCGGCGATTCGAAGTTGTGGTGTTGAGGGACCCAGGGTGTGCGTTGTGGGTAGTGCTTGATCTTGAGAGAAGGCTGGGAGCGGAGAGCCAGGCCGTCGCCTGCGGCAGCAGGCACGTCCGCCGTCGTCGTCGCGTGCAGCAGACGGCTGCGCGGCCGTCAACGCGGCACCCACACTGCTGCGCCTCACTCCCAGCAGGGCCATCTGGCACACAAAGCCATGGGACATGCGCTAGGCAGCGCTGCCCGCCCCAGCCCCGCCCGTGTGGCGAGCCGCATCGCGCCGCCGTTCGGGAGCCGGAGAAAGAGGGTGGGAATCGACCTGCGGCGGCCGCCGGATGACGAAGGTGGGGGACCGGGGGGCCTCGACGGGCGTCCCACGCACGCAATGCACGGCCGCAAATTTGAATCAGAAGTGCACCAGTGGGGGTGGCTCACGGCCGCTGTCCCGACGAGAACAAAATGAGGTTCTTTGCGTGGCCCTCATGCAGCCCGGCCCAGCCCTGCGGGGGGTCGCGGCGCCGCGGCGCCCGCAGCGCCAAACCCCACAAGGCTGTGCGGCTGTGCAGTGTTGTGGGGTCCCCGGTGGCAGCTGCAAGCGGCGTGCGTGGCAGCGGCGCGGGGCCGAGAGTCTGCATACGGGGGTGTGTTAAGTGGTGAGCGGCCGCGCTTGCGGCCCCGCAGTCCCAACTATTGAATTTGAAAGTCCCCGTCTCAACGAGAGTGGTGGGTGCGCGAATCACGACGAACACACTGCGCGTGTCGAGGCGCCGGGGCCGGGCGCCGCCGCGGGCGGCGCCCCGGGCCCGGGGTCAACCGCAGAAGTTGCCTCCCGGATGTCATGGGGGAAACGTGCTTGATGCAGCGCTGCGCCGCCCGAAAAGCGCGGCCGCGGCCATCACAAAGCCCAAAAGGCAGCAACAGAGAGGCACCTCGCTGCCGGACGCGCCGCGAGCCAGAAAGTGGGGCCGGCCGACGCGCGCGGCGCGCGCCGGCCCGGGGCTGGGAAGTTTCTCAGCTCCCGGAGAGGCGGGGCGCGCCGGCTGCAAAGCGCGGGCCGGCGCGGTGCGGCCCCGGGCGGGGCGAGCCAGAGAGGGGCGACCCAGGGCGCAGAAACGTGGCCAGAGTGCTTTGCCGGAAAGCTGGAGTGCAAGTTCAAATGCGGCCCCAAGTGGGGCCCGCCAGGCTGAGGGTCTGGTGGGGCGGGGCCGAGGCCGCCGGCTGCAAAGTGAGCGCGGTGGCTGATCAAATCGGCATAAAAGTGGGTGCGGGCCGCGTTGGTCGGGCCGAGGCCGGGCGCGCGGGGACGGCGGGGGCGCGCGGGCGGCGCCGCGGCTTGCGCGCGCGTGCTGCGAAGCCCGCGGGCTGTCGAGCCGCTGGCTGCACGCGCCCGGGGCACGTGCACCCGAACAGGGCAGCCGCGCCGGCGCCGCCCGCACGCGCTCTCAGCCGCCCAGCCGAAGAGGCGCCGCGGGCGCCCGGCCGTGCCGGGCCGTGGGGGGCTGCGGCCTGGAGGGCTGCCTGCAAGACGCGCCCGGCAAGTGTGACATCAGTGTGATGTCAGAGTGACGTCAGAGGTCCTCAAAGAAGTGGGACCCATCGCGCCCGCCCGCCCGCGACCCCGCACGCGCCGGGGCGGCGGCGGCGGCGGCGGGCGGCGCGGCGTTGACTGGGGCGGTGCCGCCCTCCTCCGGTGCGAGCATGTCCTCGATCATGACTGTTGGTGACGTCATCGTGGGGGTCCCAGTGAGGGGGTGGGGTATTGGAAGGGTCAATGGAATTGCGGCGGCCAGGCCCAGATAACAAAGGAGAGAGGAGAGAGGAGAGAATACACAACCCCACAGGTTCAAGGGTAAGAGCCACTGCACTGCCAAACGCACGACAGCCCCTGCCCAACACCGGCCCCACACCCCAAACGCGCCAAGCCGCCCCTCCCACC